AGAGTGAAAAAGTTGGCTTAAAGCTCAACATTCAGAAAACTAAGATCATGGCATCTGGTTCCATCACTTCAAGGGAAATAGATGGGGAAACAGTGGAAACAGTGGCTGACTTTATTTTTTAGGGCTCCAAAATCACTGCAGATGGTGATTGTAGCCATGAAATTAAAAGATGCTCTCTCCTTGGAAGGAAAGTTATGACCAACCTAGACAGCATATTAAAAAGCAGAGACATCACTTTGTCAACAAAGGTCCGTCTGTTCAAGGCTATGGTTTCTCCAGTGGTCTATGTATGGATGTGAGAGTTGGACTGTGAAGAAAGCCGAGCGCCAAAAAATTGATGCTTTTGAACTGTGTGTTGGCGAAGACTCATGAGAGTCCCATGGACTGCAAAGAGATCCAACCAGTCCATCCGAGAGGAGATCAGTCCTGGGTGTTCATTGGAAGGACTGATGCTGAAGCTGAAACTCCAGTATTTTGGCCACCTCATGCAAAGTGTTGACTCATTGGAAATGACCCTGAAGCTGGGAGGGATTGGGGGCAGAAGGAGAAGGGGACGACAGAGGATGAGATCACTGGATGGCATCACTGACTCGATGGACATGAGTTTGAGTAAACTCCGGGAGTTGGTGACGACAGGGAGGCCTGGCGAGCTGGGATTAATGGGGTTGCAAAGAGTCGGACACGACTGAGCGACTGAACTGAACTGAAAATGGTCTGGTACTTTCATCTCTTTAAGAATTTTCCACAATTTGTTGCTATATATACAGTCAAAGGCTGCTGTCTATCTATACAGTCCAAAGCTATCTATACAGTCAAAAGCTGCTGCTGCTGCTGCTAAGTTGCTTCAGTTGTGTCCGACTCTGTGGGACTGGTTATACGGGTCATTAAGGCCTTTCTTGTATAGCTCTTTGGTGTATTCTTGCCACCTCTTAATTTCTTTTCCTTCTGTTAGGTACTTGTCACTTATGTCCTTCATCACCTTATCCTTGCATGAAATGCTCCTTTTCTATTTCCAGTTTCCTTGAATAGATCGCTAGTCTTCCCATTCTTTTGTTTTCCTCTATTTCTTTGCATTGTTTACTTAAGAAGGCCTTCTTATCTCCCCTTCCTATTTTCTGGAACTCTGCTTTCAGTTAGACATATCTTTTTTGCCATTGCCTTTCACTTCTCTTCTTGCCTCAATTACTTGTAAACCTTTCTCAGAGAACCACTTTGGCTTCTTGCATTTTTCTTTGGGATGGTTCTGATCACTGGTTCCTGCACATGTTATAAATGTCCACTGATAGTTCTTCAGGCACTCTGTCTACCAGATCTAATCCTTTGAATCTATTCACTGCCCCCACTATATAATCATAAAGGATTTTATTTGGGTCATACCTGAATGGCCTAGTACTTTTCCCTATTTTCTTCAATTTAAGCCTGAATTTTGCAGTAAGGAGCTGGTGATTTGAGCCACAGTCAGTTCCAGGCCTTAATTTTAGCCCTTTAGCCCACAAATAAAACTCATACCATATTTCCTATCATTATGAAATGAAACTTGGACTCAGTAAATATCACCCAATAAAATATATCTTGAATGATTCACTTTTAATGCATCCTATGAAATTATGCTACTAAAAAGCAGACATTAAACACATGTGCTAAAATAATTCTTAACACATCCTTTAGAAGAACTTAGTTCAGTAAGTCAACATTATACAACTACATGTAATACATATGTTTCAAAATAACCAAATAACATGAAATTTTAACAGAAAAGAATTCAGAGAAGTCTCCAGTTAAATATCACATAGCCTTCTTTATTGCTGGTTGCCAATGTATCCAGGAAGCAGGATAATTGATAGCATCTTTGCTTTGCATAGAATGGAGGTATGTGGGTTTAAATATTTTTAAATAGAGCATTATTGAAAGCAGAGTCAAAATTAAATCAGGACAGTGAGTTTCTTGGGGAACGATTTTGAGAAACATCAATTTCTCCTATTTTGTAAAATTCCTTTTCTCTACTGTATCTTAGCTTATGATTCAGCATTTCAAAAGCTACAGTATTTCCCCACATTTTCCATGAAAATGTAGGTACACAAACAGCTCTGATCTGAGGTTATGGAGAAGGCTGTGGAAGAGCAAGGACACATCTGAGAGTACAAAACCCGACGACATGAATAATGGCAGATTGTCAGAACTAGAATGGTGGACAATCTACAGCTGGGAAACATGATAGCTGAGTTGTAACTCTAGATTTCTTATGGTCCTTTGTGTGAGAACAGGCAAGAGTAGGGCTTTGGAAATCAGTTTAACTTAGAAATAAGAATATGGGTCAGGTTTATTAAATTATTAAAATCTCTTTCAGATGCATAGTTATATCACTCTACTGTACCAAACTTTGGACACATAACTAACAGCTACTGCTTTGGCAACAGTGAAAAAAACATCAGTTTCAATACTATTTAAAACAGTAAATGATCTACTCACATTTTCAAAATGTGATGCAATGCAGACCATTGGAATATTGTTATCCCTGAACAATCCTTACTTTCTCTTTCTTTATAATTTTATTAATTTACTTTTTGGCTGTGCTGGGTCTTCCTTGTCTCACAGACATTTCTCTGTCGATAGTTGCAGTGTGTGGGGCTACTCTCTCTAGCTGTGATTCCTGGGCTTCTCATTGCAGTGGCTTCACTCGTTGCAGAGCACAGGTTTCAGGGTGCACAGATGTCCATAACTGCAGTATACGGACTCAGTAGTTGCGGCTCCAGGTCCCTAGAACACAGGCTCAAGAGTTGTTGGGCACAGGCTTTGCTGTTCCATGGCATGTGGGATCTTCCTGGAATGGGGATCAAACCTATGTCTGCTCCTCTGGCAGGCGGATTCTTTACCACTGAGCCACCAGTGAAGCCCCAGTTCTTATTTTCTTACATTAAGAAAAATTTAACCTTTTCCTGATCTAAAACACTATATCATTTTCTTTTTATTTATGTAACACTAATTTTCTTGGTTATTATGAACTTTAATTCTGAATAAAATGGTGGCGCTAGTGGTAAAGAACCTGCCTGCCAATGAAGGAGACATAGTAGACTTGAGTTTGACCCCCTGGGTCGGGAAGATCCCCTGGAGAAGGAAATGGCAACCCACTCCAGTATTCTTGCCTGGAGAATCCCATGGACAGGCGAGCCTGGTGGGCTACAGTCATAGGGTCGCAAAGAGTCAGACACAACTGAAGTGACTTAGCACAGTTTTCTTGGTTATTATTAAACTTCAGTTCTGAATAAAATTTTCAGGTCAATGTATGACAAAAACCACTACAATATTATAAAGTAATTAGCCTCCAACTAACAAAAATAAATGGAAAATAAAATAAAATAAAATTTCTAGGGAAATTGTTCTCAGTAATGTTAAAATATTCATTAAATTGCTATTTACTTTGAAGTGTCAGCATTTTCCAAGTACTCAATACAGTTTACAAAAGTAGTTTAATAAAATCTGTAGGATTTTAGTGTTTTTAATTCAAATTAATATTCCCTCATATTCCCAGGTGGTGCAGTGGTAAAGAATCCACCTGTCAAGGCAGGAGATGCAGGAGACAGCCAGTTCAGTCTCTGGGTTGGGAAGATCTCCTGGAGGAGAAGGAAATGGCAACCCATTCCAGTATTCTTGCCTGGAAAATACCATCGACAGAGGAGTCTGGCGGGCTCCTGGGGTTGCATCGAGTTGGATACGATTGAGCACACACATATTTTAAGAAAAACTTAATAAATGTTAATGATATTGATATCTGATCATTTTAAAAGAAATACAGGGAAATCAAATGCCTTAAATAGACAAACATCTTCAGGAGAATATTGCCAGGCTTGATTCTTCTCTTTGGACCTCAAAAAGTAAATTCACTCAGCTCCCAGAACTCAGCTTTATTTCTGCTACAGGAGAAGAGGTTATTTCTTTCTGTTAGACCATTCAGTCAGTACAGCTTGCTGTAAACAGGAAATAATATTTTATTTAGCATAGTAAGATGAAAATTCTATTTGAGGGAAATGACTTGTTGGGTCTTTGCAAACACCTCAATATCCCTTTTCCTTTATCTCACAAGAATGCTATGGAATTACTATTTAGATTTCTTTTTAGAAGGTCCAAAATGCAGGTCACCTCTATATTTTGAGTGCTACAACTAGACTGTCTAGGGAAGCAGAGATTTATTCTTGTACATTAGTCATGTGCAATGTTAATTTACATTATCAGCCCCATCCATGTTAATCTTGTCACAAACATGAGGTGGGGAAACACATGTCTCAGCATAAGAAGAAAATAAAAACAATGAACACTTACTTATTAAGCCTTTCCTTATGCTTTGTTAATTAACTATGATGTGATAACAGTTAATTCACTAAGCATGATAAATTAGATGAAAATGGTCAGGATGCTTAAGAAAATATTTGATGTGAAATCTATCACACACATAGTGAAGATCTCACAGCCATAAAAGTAGGTGTACTTTTTTCTAGTTTTCTTTATCTCCATGGAATTGGCAAATATCTTTTAAGCTCTAAATGGCTAATTTAATACAATAAATACTTAATCTATTGTTTTTTTTTTTTAATCTGTAGCACTGATGTGATCTTATAGAGATATCCATGACATTTTTCTTACTTTGCACATCCACTGCAGCAAGCAGGCTAATCCTCAGAGTGTGAAATCTCCTAACTGTCTCAAAGTCTAAGTTTCATAACCCACTGGGTGTTCTGACATTCAATTAATAGACATGGGCATTTGAACTCACTCCTTAAATATTACAAATTCCTTTTTTCATTTTTGATTGTTTCTCTCTCAGTACTTTTATCTGCAAAATGAAGGTAACAACACAAACTCTGAATAGCTATTGTAAAGATAAAAAATAATACTTATAAAGCTCTAGTAGAGAGTATACAACAGATGCTTAATAAACAGTAACTTTACTCTCATCTACTAATGGTTAAAGTAGCATTTCAACTCAGAGCATACACTTGGGTCTGTGATAAACTAGATGACAAGTATGAGTCTGATTAATGAGGATATGCAGAGATCAAATAAATATATACTCTTTGGACATTTTCTACAAATTATCTTTTCAAAATTTCTTCTAAATATAAGTTGTATGGCTCTGGATTAGCTAAGAGGGCAAAAATTGTCTATCATTGTTATGGCTTTAGTCTAGAAAATAATAGTAATAGTGACCCTGGACTCGTGAAATTTCCATAACTAATGGATACCACTGCAATGAAATTGACATCTTTTATTATCAATGAAATAATAAAGCGAGACAAAATTTAGGAAGATATATTTTAGAGGTCTGCTCATTATAAAGTGCCTGATTGTCATTTTAGCAGGAACAGATAAAGTACATTCATATTAAAAACATAAGGCAACATTCTTAAATAAAATGCCTCAATGATTTGATTAGAGAGTATACAACAGATGCTTAATAAACAGTAACTTTACTCTCATCTACTAATGGTTAAAGTAGCATTTCAACTCAGAGCATACACTTGGGTCTGTGATAAACTAGATGACAAGTATGAATCTGATTAATGAGGATATGCAGAGATCAAATAAATATATACTCTTTGGACATTTTCTACAAATTATCTTTTCAAAATTTCTTCTAAATATAAGTTGTATGGCTCTGGATTAGCTAAGAGGGCAAAAATTGTCTATCATTGTTATGGCTTTAGTCTAGAAAATAATAGTAATAGTGACCCTGGACTCGTGAAATTTCCATAACTAATGGATACCACTGCAATGAAATTGACATCTTTTATTATCAATGAAATAATAAAGCGAGACAAAATTTAGGAAGATATATTTTAGAGGTCTGCTCATTATAAAGTGCCTGATTGTCATTTTAGCAGGAACAGATAAAGTACATTCATATTAAAAACATAAGGCAACATTCTTAAATAAAATGCCTCAATGATTTGAATGATTCTACTGAACTACTGCCTCAGCTGACCAAAATTCTAAGTTGTACAGTGTAAAAGGAACTACTTTGAGCTAAAGGTTAGTTTTAGAAGAAATAGTAAATGTATACCTCGCAGTAATCATTCATTTTAAGACCTGAATCTACATGTGCAGTCAATCATTCAGAAATTTAATTATTTCTATGATTAAGGTACTAGATGATTTTCTTTTGATATTGGGGAATAAATACACTTAAATAACATGCACAGGTTAGTGCAAGTCATCATGGATCATCAGACTGTAAGAATTATCAGGACATGATAAAGGGTTATATATTTCAATAATTAAAAGCAATCTGATTATTAGCTCTTCATTTTTGGCAATTTACCAGATGGCACAGTAGTAATCTGCCTGACAATGCAGGAGACACAAGAGACATGGGTTTGATTCCTGGGTCAGGAAGATCTCCTGGAGAAGGAAATGACAACCCACTCCAGTACTCTTGCCTGGAAAATCCCATGGACAGAGGAACCTGGCGGGATACAGCCCATGGGGTTGCAAAAGGTCAGTCAGATGCGACTGAGCACACAAGTCCACACACATCTAGAGATAAAAATGCCTTCAGTGTTTTCACTGATTAAACTCCAAAGCATCTTTTTCATTGTCAGCAGAAATAATCAACATTAATCAAAACAGACTCTTCTAACTATAAACAATTGAATGAATAGTTTTAAAGTTAGTTTGGCTAAAATTGTTGAACTAATAAATAATTAAATAAGGCAAGAATCAGTTCACTTCAGTTCAGTCACTCAGTCAGAGTCTCTGACTCTTTGCCACCCCAGGGACTGTAGCACCCCAGGCCTGTTTGTCCATCACCAGCTCCCAGAGTTTACTCAAACTCATGTCCACTGAGTTGGTGATGCCATCCAACCATCTCATCCTCTGTCATCCCCTTCTCCTCCCACCTTCAATCTTTCCCAGCATCAGGGTCTTTTCCAATGAGTCAGTTCTTTGCATCAGGTGGCCAAAGTATTGGAGTTTCAGCTTCAGCATCAGTCCTTCCAATGAATATTCAGGACTGATTTCCTTTAGGATGGACTGGTTGGATCTCCTTGCAGTCCAAGGGACTCTCAAGAGTCTTCTCCAACACCACAGTTCAAAACCAATTCTTTGGTGCTCAGCTTTCTTTATAGTCTGACTCTCACATCCATACATGACTACTGTAAAAAACCATAGCTTTGACTAGACAGACCTTTATTGGCAAAGTAATGTCTCTGCTTTTTAATATGCTGTCTAGATTGGTCATAGCTTTTCTTCCATGGAATAAGCATCTTTTAATTTTATGGCTACAGTCATCATCTGCTTTGATTTTGGAGACAAGAAAATAAAGTTTCTCATTGTTTCCATTGTTTCCCCATGTATTTGCCATGAAGTGATGGAACCAAATGCCATGATCTTAGATTTTTGAATGTTGAGTTTTAAATCAACTTTTCACTCTCTTCTCTTACTTTCATCAACATGTTCTTTAGTTCTCCTTTGCTTTCTGCCATAAGGGTGGTATCATCTGCATATCATGTATTTCTGGAAATCCCTTAATTGGTTAGAAAGCAATAGCAGCTAGGGCATGTTGCTGAATTATAAGTATCAACAATTATAAGTATCAACAGGCATTAGCACACCACTTAATTTTTTTTTTAAATATTAAGAGTGATAATATTTTAAGAGAATTATGTAAAATAGGAAGAAAAAGACCTTTAATTCCATAAATCAAAGAGAATAATTGTTAGAAGTTAGTGATGACTTTTGAAGAACAGGGTCTCAGAAATAAATTACTAGATTCAAAGGTTGAGTATGTGATGGCAGCAGGAGATACTTCAGTGTTTACAGATATTTGAATATTGAGGCTCATATTTCTTTGCTTATTATTGAGCTTGAGCACCTTTTCATTTGTTTAGTCTTCTTGTGAATTTTTTGCCAAATTATTTGCTCATCTAACTGCATGAGCAGTGTAAACACATGTGTAAACACATCAGTGTTTACAATTTTTAGCAATTTGCATATTTTCATGTAACACATATTATTCTTGTAGCATTTTATCTACATTTTTTTAGTCCTTAACTTTTTTTTTAATTAACATTTCAACCATAGACACTAAACTGTTTAAAGAGTAATACAGTCAAAACACGCACACTCACTACCTTTTGAAATAAAACATGATCAATACTTGTGCAGCCCTTGCCTCCATTCTCTCACTGCACCTGTTTTTTCTCTACCCTCCAGACCTAACCATTACTATGAATGTAGTGCTTATAGTTGCAGCACATCTCTTAATACCTTTATCACACATGTATTCATCCCCAAATAACAATTTTTAGGCAGATTCTTAAAATTTATGCTAAAAGGTGTTATGTTGGACTCTCAAGAGTCTTCTCAAGCAATACAATTTGAAAGCATCAATTTTAAATCATTGCTAAATGGTACCATGCTACATATTCTTTGGCAACCATCTTCTTTATAATCATATCTCTAAGATATATCTATATAGAGCTATAGTTCTAGTTCAATGATGCAGAGAATCCTAGTATATCAACAATTTAAAATATACCTATTTTGGTGTTGAAGACATGATGTTCTAATGTTTTCTTCCCACACAAAGACAATGCTGCTGTAAATGTCTGATTCCTTGTGCTTATACGTCAAGAATCTTCATATACATTTCTAGGAGTGAAACTGACAGTTTGTAGGGTATGAATATGTTCGACTTTGCTGCATGACAACAATTTATTTTCCAAAGTTGTAACAAATTATCGCCCAACAGTTGTCAGTCAGTTCAGTTGGTTAGTAGTGTCTGACTCTTTGCAATCCCGTGAACTGCAGTATGCCAGGCCTCCCTGTCCATCACCAACTCCCGGAGTTTACCCAAACTCAGGTCCATTGAGTCAGTGATGCCATCCAACCATCTCATCCTCTGTCATCGCCTTCTCCTCCCACCGTCAATCTTTCCCAGCATCAGGCTCTTTTCAAATGAGTCAGCTCTTCA